TATCAATAAAACACGCAATCCAAGCAGCTATGCATTTTATTTTGATTGTCAACAAACCATTGCTCGTTGGTGCACCATTGTTGTTAGGTTGAGCATTTGGCATGTTTGGCGGGGAGCTTTGCCAATTCTGTGCAGACGCGCCACTAGTTGGGGGCATTTGATTGCCATTCCCCTTGTTGCTATTCACTGCAAGAAAGAATCAGAACATAAGCACCTAAATGAAACATCTATAATGTTAAATGTAATTTATTTCTAATCACAGTAACTGTAGTTTGCCAACAATAGAAGCAAATTTTATTTTGATGACTTCATCATTTAGTGACGATATTAAAACAACTTACTGTCTGCTTGAGAAGTGGGCGGGCGCTGAGCCGTGTTATTCCATTGTTGAGTATTGTTTGTTCCATTATTTGTTTGGCCACTGGAATTACCGCCCCAATTCCCAGCTGGCAAAGAAAAAAGATCTATTTATAATCTCTTATCACCGACGACGGTTAAAATATAGTTCTTATGTCGGCCACGGGCAGTACTGCCAAATATTTGAGTGCCGATCAACCTACTGTATAATATCTGAATCAGGCGTCAGCGAGATGACAAAAACAGGCGTACTCACCGTTGTTAGAGGAAGGCGGGCTGCCCCAGCCAGTAGCGGTGTTGAGCGAACTTTCGCCCCCTCCGCAAAGTCGAAGGCGTCGGGGAACGCCCCAACTGTCCACATCTTGAGTTTTCATTTCCTTGATAATTCGATCCTCGTTTTTCGTGAGTTCCAACATAGCGTCGAAGGTGAGATCACCGTTCGCGAACATTCGCAAAGCCGTTTTATTGGCGGGTTTGTCGTAACCAACTTCCAATTCATTATTGTCATGGTATGTCTTCACAGACTTGTCTTCATTAGTAATGATTCGAGTTTTCGTTTTGGATATCATATTATGAGCAGACTTGTCGTTTAGTAGTTGCGTATCGCAAGGCTCATCTCGTATAATACAAACTGAGGATTTAAAAGCGTAATCAGACTTGTTCATATGCTCCGGCGCTCCGAACGCCATCTTATAGTTTAAGTTAAAGCTACTGAAATATGGGTCACTGTATGAGATACCCTGGACTGTTATGGCGTTAATCGTTAAAGGAATGCAGTAGTTAGGCGTTTCGCCAATCATTTGGTTTTGTTGGACACTAACAACAAATTCTACATTATAAATATTTAAATCTACCATTTTTACACTAGCTTCATGACTTTCATTCTTCTCAACATGAAAAGCACCAAAATTATTTGTGTTCACCACCAACATCAAGGTGGAGTAATTACATTGCATTGGTTCGGTAACAGTATTAATATTGGAGTAACAATTATCCTTAATTAGATGTCGAACACATAATATTACAGAAACATTAGACATCAGACAATTATTATAAATAGAATAATTTTCTACAGTTTTGACCTAACATTATACTTATGTTCACAGATAGCATATTGTTTCAATTATAAACTAAGTAACAATGGTTCGTAGTGATGCAGTCAATAAAGCAGGTAGCAGTGTTTAGTGCCTCTATGGTAGAGGACAAGGTGAGATCACCACTGGAAGCTGCTGCGGACTCGCCTCCTAGCCCCGATTGGCCCAGCCCTATAAAGTACACAACATTGGATCAGCAAACAGCTTGTGTCTCGCATTAATGCGTTCTAAGTGTTTTAATATCTTTGTCTCAACTTAAAAATTGTATTTAGGTAATATGGATCATAATTTAATTGCTAATTCCAGAACTTAATTTTGAACTAAAACAAAGACCACAAAATATTTTCGAAGACTATTTCAAAGTTGTTTATTGATTCCCACTTTGTACCCTCTACAATACTCGCAGTAATATTATGTTTCATTTTTTGCAATGGCATCTCGCATTAAGACCAATAAAGGAGTATGCTGTTGACTTGACTAGACTAGCTCAAACATTATGAGTTATAGCGATTACTGAACCATTTGAAGGTATGTTTGACATCTGTCAATGAATCTCAAATTGAAGCTGATTCCTAAAATGTAAAATATGCAGGGAATACTACAGGTAGTTTACAATGAAGAATTTAAATAAATCCAGTGCCCTTTCAATGCCAAATAATTTGCATGTAGTATGGCTACATAGAATTGTGGGGGTACTTGATTCAATCCTTAAATACAAATAAGAATGAAGACAGTTACAACTTAAATTAATTCCAATCTCTGGTCTCAAGACATACAAGGGTAATATTAAATAGAGCTTACCTTATAGGACGGACGAGAGGCTGAGCTGTATATCACAGATAATGCGGGCTCGGCAGATCCTTAGAGCAGCTTTACAGTCAGCTCGTAACGTTTCAGATTATCTGTGAGACAAAGAGTTCACAATTTACTTGTACTATTGGCACTTAGCATAAACAATTAATAAAAATCAATACGCAGGTCGTAACAATAACTAAGTACATGATCATTTTGAGGTTATCTGGATCAAAAAAAAAGGTCACTTGGATCAGTGCTTTGTACTCGCACAGCATAGATAGGTACATCAATGTGAATAACATCAAAAATTATAATTTTTAGATTTACGTCGCAATGATACGATAAAGCAATCTTCAAATCAAAAATCATAATGGTGTTTCACAATACGCCATTCCAAAACGTATACGAGCGATGTAATACGACGCAAGTACTTATGGTCACACCAAAATTATCAAGAATAAAATGTTATAGAATCACAATTTCTCATTTCAGTTTTCACATTCCTCTAAAAACCAATATTCTTTTCTTACATTATATACCTATATATTTGTGTATTTCGGCCTTGAGACTCGACGACTCGATGTTGAATATCTACAGTCGTATACATGTATCTATCTATGCTATATCATCCACGGTACCTATCTATATCTAGAGTGAAAGTTAGCACGACCCATATCATTCGAATAAAGCAAATATTTTTGAAACAAATTAGTTCCCCACATACACAAACACTTAATTGACAAGAATATTACAAAACTTCCTCAAAAATCACACTCTAATCAGGCAAAAATACAAAAAATCTTACGTGACACGACCGAGCACAACGGTGTTATATTACTAGAAGGAATGAGACAGAGAATTAAACATGTCGCTGACATCCCGTTTGTTGGAGGGAGAACAAACATACGCCTGAGAAAGCGATGCCATAAATGCTCAGAGCCATCAACGACGACATAAAGAACTTCTTCGAAAATCTAGCTTTATTTAGGACTTACCTCTGTTTTATAATGTTGTTGGCACATAACTTATGGATTTATACAAAATCACAATCCCAAACCCCCGAGAACACGGCTTCGACGGCTGGATGGAATGATTTCGTCGTCGGGGTTCGCACGAGAGCTATGAAATGCTACCAATTTATGACGAACAGAAGCGATTCAGAGTACGTACAGAGTTACCGCATTTTAGTCGTGGTCGGGTTATAGCAATTTACTATACCTACCTATAACTTTCAATATGCAGAGGTATTATCTATAGTATCTATCTATAAATATGTACCTATAATAATACCGTACGAATACATACCTATTTTTATACTGTTGTGTATTTCTATATCTATAGACAGCCATTCGATTGACTATGGATGCCTTGTAGCTAACTGGGGTACTAAAGACTTGCTAAATAATCACATAAAATCGATATTTAAGTGAAGTTGAGAGCCTCAGTTTCTTAAATTTGACCGTCGAAGTCTGACATAGTGATATGTGATTGATACAAGTACCTAGCTAAATTAATTTGCTATGTACTTACAATCAACCTATTCTTATTTAGCTAAACTTTGCGCATTTCTGTTCTGTTACAGAGGAGGTACTTACCTACTACGTAGGTACATAAGAAAAGGTTAATAATATTGATTGATTAAGTAAACATAATGACATATTCTGTCATTTTATTTTAATTAAAATCTATTAAAAATAGGTGGTCAAAGAGTATGATAAGTATTGGTAGGTGATGTACCAACTACAGAGATAGATTAATTAATTACCCGTTTATAACAAAAATTATGTATTAATTATATAAGACCTATTTTTATTACTAAATTCATGTTTACGATTGCTTTCCAATTTGTCTTTTTCTTTCGGAGTTACCAAAATATAATAATAATACCTACGTATAATATTTAGGCAAATTATATAGGTAACAAGCTTAATTTATCAAAAATTGTATTTTAAATAGGTACCTAACTAACTAAGTTTGTATGTTTTCTATTCTTATTATGTACAATTAATACGTAACGTAAACTCTTACGTCCATTAAATACTCATTAAATGTCTACTTAATACCCTTATTAATTATTTAATCAATATTGTACCCATGTATTTCTAAATCAAGTTTATAACTTCAGCTGCTGCTTGTGGTTTGCTATTTTTAGACAAAATACTCCCTTAGCCATATAATTACGGATTGTATAAATACAGGTATTGAATTCGCTAAAATGAAATAAAAATAATGTGCTTTTAGTGTTACAGCTACTACAATGTCCCATTTTCTAATACTACGTTTATTTTTCAAAGGCGTAACTTAACATACAGAGTTAGGTAAATGAACAGAAGAAAGAAAAATTGACACATCCAAGTAAGTCTAGGTAGCTATGTATTGTCCAGATAAATTATCGAATGTTTCAATGAATAGGAAATAATCAATAAAAAAAGTGAGCGTGGTATAAATGTAAGATTTTTATATATCATTTTCTACAAAATTACCAACGCTATGTATCCATTTTTTGTTTTCTTCTTTGTAATCGGCCAATCAAAATAAGCTACCGCTAGTGGTGTGGCAAGCTTACATTTTGGAAACATACCGTAGATGATTTTTTTTTTTTTTTTTTTTTTTTTTTGGGC